CCCCAAAACCCCAAAACCCCAAAACCCCAAAACCCCTGGTTACAGCATTTTTAAGGATAGTGGATATTTAAAGTTATTTTTTAAAATTATGTATATTAAGTTAGAACATAGGGATTTATATATCAAAATATAAGACATTATGAGTTACTAAATAAACTACTAGATTAGGTGTTGCTAGATGTTAAGTTTGGGGTTGACATCATCATGTCTGGACATAAACTCTTTAAGCATTAGCACTCATCGACTGAAGCTTGTTACTCATCTTGAAAAAGTCTTTTATTTTGCTCTATCTACTTATCTATACTGTCTCTAGGATCCCTCCTATGGGATGATTTGAGACCTTGCTTGGATTTATTAGATATTTACCTCATTTGATCAGTAAGGTCAGCATTCTGTTTGTATCTTTATGATTCTCTTAATTCAATAGGCCTCTCACTAGCGATCTAAACCTGCTAACCCAGATCTTTTAAATTTTGCAAGACTGATTATTATTTCTACAAGGATCTTTAAGATTTATTCTCTTCATCTAGTAGCTACATATTAGTCAACTAGTTTATTTAGGATTTATTGTTAAGAACTGGCTAATCTTAGTTAGATGGACGCGATATCATTTACTTATCTTAAAATTGCTATTATTATTATTATTATTGCTGCTGAAATTGTTGTTGCTTAAATGCATTGCTGTTTCTATTGTTGTTATTTTATCTTTAAATATTTGCATTACTATTAATCTGAATATTATTTCTGACACTATTGTTATTATTATTGTTATTAATGCTAATTTGATTAATGGTATTACTGTTACTAACTTGATCCCCTTGAGTCCCTTAAAATTTAGAGGGTTTTCGCATTTATTCTTTATGCTGTTTTTCTCTTTCCTAAACTAATATCAACAGTTAAATCTCATATAATTGATTAGAAAAATATGATGCCTAATTTATCTAAAATTAGAAGGAATATCCAAAATTTATTAGTGTCTGAATTTGATGAGATAGCTTACCTGACTAATCCTAGTGAACACAATATAGCTTGTCATTGTATTTAATTAATCTGTACCCAGGAGCGACTATTACTTACTCATCTTCAGGAGTCAGTACAAGGGGGGTTTCTGTTATTTAGTTGAGATTTAAGGATATTCTTACAGTTTTTTTCAGCAAGCAGCTTTTTATATTCAATTTTAAATTCAACTGCAGTTTCTATGATCAGGGGATAGAAAGCAACCATCTAATCGTAGTTGTGATTGACATAGAATAATTGGACGTAGTAAGCAGCATAATGCAGCCTAGAAACTCCAATATACCCAGCAGATCCTTTAAGGTTATGAGCTCCTACTTTCATCTCCTTCCAGTCCTATTTCTAGATGCCTCGACAGAGCCTTTCAAGCTGCTCATTCATTGTCATTACTTCAAATTGAGCTATCATCATGTAAAACAGATCAGGCAACCCGAGAGTTTTCATCGCAAAATTAACATCAATCGGTACTGATATATCAATATCCAATACTCTAACTTCTTTGTCAGTTTAGTCTTATTTTTCTATATTGGTTCTTGAACTAAAGTGAATGATAGGGCATTTATTATTATTGAGAGGACAAAATAAGAGAATGTTATTTTACTTACATCTGCATATTTAAGGAAGATTATATTTTATTAAAGATTAAAACAAAGTATAATACTCATCTATTCATTCAAATTCATTTTTTGTATATTTATCTTTTATTTATCATTCCATCCACCCTATTCATATTATGTTACTCGGGGTTTTGGGGTTTTGGGGTTTTGGGG